GTTTTCTTGGTATCCTCTAGAGCTAGTTTTAAAAGAATATTTTTAAAAGGGGATGATTACAGTGGAGGGACAACATACCCTGAAGGAGGGAAGGCCAGTTTTAGTCTCAGCTCAGCCCTACCTGTGTCACCTTGAGCATGTCACATATATGATGTTCCTCGAGATTACAAAGCTGGTGGTTGGCAGAGCCAGGATTTGAATCCTATCTGCCTTCCAACTTCTAAGCTTCTAAGTCACCCCCTCTTCATTTTGTCTCCTTCTCACTTCACTTAGCTTTTAACATGTGGTCAAGGGTTTCTTCATTCATCCCCTGCTTTGCCTCACTTGTCTTGACTGTACCAGGAATGATAATACTATCTGTTTAAGGTTATTGTAAGGTCTAAATGAGATCCTGTGTGCTGAGTGCTTAGTGAATGGTTAGGTTCACGGACATGTCTCAATATATGAAGGCTGTCATGACCCTCTTTATTATTTTTCCTACGACATCTGCTATTGGTAGAAATACTACTACTATTTTCCCAACAATAAATGACTTGTACCCTAAAGACATTAATATATTTCCTGCATAAATATGCTGGAGAAAAATTTTTCAAGTTTTTATAAAAGATTCTGGTTGTTTTTCCAGTTATAAATTGTTGTGTAACAAAGTACCCCCAAACTTACGAGTCTAAAACAGCAACAATATCTATTTTGCTCATAAATCTGCAATTCGGGCAAGACTCACAGGGACAGCTGGGCTCTACCTCGCTGGAGATCACTCATCTGGGTTGCTCGAGGGCAGGGAGCTGGCATCATCTGAAGGTTTATTCACTCACACATCTAGTGGTTGATGCTGGAGGCCGGCTGGGACTTTTGTTGGGTCCATTGGCCTTGAGACCTAAAGGTGGCCTGAGTTTCTTCACAACATAGTGGCTGGGTCCAAAGGTGAGGTCGCAAGAGACAGAACCAGGCCAAAGCTTTATCACCTTTTCTCACTTTGCCTTGAAAGGTAGGGGTGTCACTTCTCCCCCATTTTATTCCTTAGCAGCAACTCATAGTGGCCAGCCTAATTCTAGGGGAGAGGAATAAGTCTCCCTCGTTCTATGAGAGCCATGCCAAAGATTTTATGGCTACGTTTTAAAACCCCCTGGAGTTATTAAAGCTGAAACATTTTAACTATTGATCTATTAATGTCCTTTTAATCAAGTATGAACATTGTTTTTTGTGAGGGGGGGAAAAAACCACAGTATTCTTTTTTTCTTTTTTTTTTTTTACTTTTATTGTGCTTTTGGTGAAAGCTTACAGCGTGAATTAGTTTGTCTTCAAAAATTTATACACAAATTGTTTTGTGACAATGGTTACAACCCCCGCAATGTATCAGCACCTCCCCCTTTCCCTTTCCACCCTGGGTTCAATGTGTCCATTTGTCCTGTCCCTTCCTGCCTTCTCATCTTTGCTTTTGGGAAGGTGTTCCCATTTGGTCTTGTGTACTTAACTGACTAAGAAGCATGTTCCTCACATGTGTTATTATTTGTGTTATAACTGTTGCTGTTGAGTTGATCTTGACTCATAGTAACCCTATAGCAACCCTTATAGGCCTGTCTAATCTTTGGCTGAAAGGTGAACTTTGGGAGTGGCTTCAATTCTGAGTTAGCTGGGTGTCTGGGGGTCATAATCTGGGGAGTTTTTCCAATCTCTGTCAGACCAGTAAATCTGGTCTTTTTTCGGAATTTGAATTTTGTTTTACATTTTTCTCCTGCTCTCTCTGGGACCCTCTTTTGTGATCCCTGTCAGAGCTGTTGGTGGTCGTAGCCAGGCACCATGTATTTCTTCTGGGCTCAGGCTGGGGGAGGCTGTGGTTTTTGTGCTCCGTTAGTCCTTTGGACTAATATTTTCCTTGTGTCTTTAGTTTTCTTCATTCTCCTTTGCTCCGGATGGGATGAGATGAACAGATATATCTTAGATGACAGCTTGCAAGCTTTTAAGACCCCAGACGCTACTCACCAATACACAGCATTTAAAGTTAGATTATTGTGGATAATTTTTGTGGAGTCTATATAGTGACTTCTGTTTGTTATTTTGATTTTTTCCCTCTTTATTTCAGCTATCCATTTATTTCTAAGAAAAAACAAGATCATTAAAATTCTTTATCACAGCTCTGAGGTTATGTTTTGTATGACATGACAAATCATTTTGACAGCTTCACAAAATGTCTGGAAGATGGGCAGGAGGCAGATTATAGTGGGAAACACGAGATGTAACAGACAACACATGCTCTAGCATCAGAGCCGAAACCTGCATTCTTTCTGAATTCTGACTCCGCCACTTACTCGCTGTCTGACCTCTGGCAAGTTATTTAAATACTCAGAGCTCCAGGTTTTTCAACTATAGAGTGGGGTTACTAACATGCATCTCTGGGGAGTGCTATGAGGATTAAATAAGATACAGTTTGCAAAGCCCCTACCTTAGAGCTTGGCATATTAATCATACTCCCCTTAGCTTTATCAGGGAACAAACATAGATCAAAATATCACAGTTCTAGTTAATTAAACTGTAATGACTATGTAACCCAAAAACCCATTGCCGTAGAGTCGATTCTGACTCATAGCGACCCTATAGGACAGAGTAGAACTGCCCCATAGGGTTTCCAAGGAGCGGCTGGTGGATTTGAACTGCCCACCTTTTGGTTGGCAGCAGAGCTCTTAACTAGTGCGCCACCAGGGCTCCAGTGACTACATAGAGGATGGGAATCAGTTGTCATTAAAATATTAACCCGTTTAATCTGGGTTAATCGTTTTTTCCCTCAGTCTTTGCATAACAGTAGAGGAAACACGACACCAGGATTTCATGATAACACTTTACCCTGGAGTAAATTTTTATATTAGACACATTTGTCTCCTTTTACAAAGGCTCTTGTATGTCAGAGTGGATTGAAAGTCAAGTGCTATATATTCAAGGAGTTTCACTTTTTAATCCAAGTTTAATCCACAGTTTATAACATTTATCTGTCCTAAAACTTCCAGTTTAGTTTATACTCATTATGAATCAGAGCCCTGGTGGCGCAGTGCTTAAGAGCTCAGCTGCTAACCAAAAGATCAGCAGTTCAAATCCCCCAGCCGCTCTTTGGAAACCCTATGGGCAGTTCTACTCTGTCCTACAGGGTCGCTATGAGTCGGAATCAACTTGACGGCAACAGGTTTGGTTTCGGGTTTATTGTAAGTCAGTGTTATAGGTACAAGGAACAGAGATATTTCTGACCTTCAAAATGAGGATTGCTTTGAGTGAGGAAAAGCAAGAAAACAAAAAGATTCAAATTTTAAGTTTTCTTTTTAACTTTTGTACTTGAAATTTTATCCCAAGTGTATTACTGAAGATGATTTTTGCATTTCATTTTCACTACATTTATTTTTTGATTAATGTAGTTCTTATTTTTCCAGATAAGAAGAGATGAAATAGATAAAACAAGTTTTCAGACTGATTGCTAATTTATATGAATTCATGTATTCAAATTTATGATGTTTGAATCAAATACAAGTACTCACTGCTATTTTTCAAATCCCTGACATTATTTATATAAAAGGCTTTTTTGAAATATCAAAAGAGATTATTCACCATTGAGGAAATTTCAATAGTAGCATGATGCTTCCAGAAGATGTTTTGAAGGTGTATGAGAACAAAATACCATTTGGAAGTTAAAACGCACCAGTGAAAAACACTTACAAGGAAAAATACCCATATGGATTTTTCTTAGCTTCCTAGTATGTTTCAAACTCTAATAAAATAGTTAATGAAAAGATCTTTTTTTTTTTTTTCTGTCAAGAAAAGCAACTTTAAGATGGTACCCGGCTTCCACCAATGACTGCCCTGACAGGGAACACAACAAAGAGTCCCTGACGGAGCAGGATAAAAATATGGAGCAGAACTCAAATTCACATAAAAAGACCAGACTTAATGGTTGGACTGAGATGGAGGAACCCTCAGAGACATGACCGCCGGATGCTCTGTTAACCCAGAACTAAAATCATTCCCGAAGCCAACTCTTCAGACAAAGATTAGACTGGACTGTAAAACATACAATAATACTGATGAAGACTGTGCTTCTTAGTTGAAGCAGATACGCGAGACTAAATGGGCAGCTCTTGTCCAGAGGCCGAATAAGGCAGAAAGGGACTGGAGCTGGTTGGATGGACCCTGGAAACCCGGAGTGGCAAGGGCGAGTTTGCTGTCACATTACAGGGATTGCAACTACTGTCATGTAACAATATGTGTATACATTTTTGTATGAGAAATTAACTTGAGCTATAAACTTTCACCTAAAGCACAATGAAAAAAAAGAAAAGCAACTTTATTATAAAGAGAAGTTTACTCTGTAGCATTATTCTTAAAAAGCAGGGTATTGCTTTCCTATGGCTTTTATAACAAATTGGAGACCTGGTGACACAGTGGTTGAGCGTTTGGATACTAACCAAAAAGATCGGCAGTTTCAGTGCACTAGCCAGCCACTCCTTGGAAATCCTGTGGGACAATTCTACTTCGTCCTATAGGGTCACTGTGAGTCAGAGTCAACTCGACGGCAATAGGTTTTTTTGGTCTATAACAAATTATGACAAACTCAGTGGCTTAAAACAGCACAAATTTAACCTCTTAGGGTTCTGAAGGTCAGAAGTCCAAAATAGGTTTTACTGGGCTAAAAGCAAGGCATTGGTTACAGTTGAATTCCTTCTGGACGCTTCAGGGAAGAATCCATTCCTTGCCGTTTCTAGCTCCTAGAGGCCACCAGCATTCCTTGGCTGATGGCCTCTTCCTCCATGTTGAAAGCCAGCAGAGAAGTACCTTCCAGTTTCTTTCTGGCCCTGATTTTCTGCTTCCTCCTCTGATCTGATTCGACCACAGCGGGTTTGGTTTGGTTTCAGGTGATTACACTGAAGCCCTGGTTGCACAGTGGTTAAGAGCTAAGGCTACTAACCAAAAGGTTGGCAGTTTGAATCCACCAGCCACTCCTTAGAAACTCTATGAGGCAGTCCTACCCTGTCCTGTACGGTCAGGAGGAGTCAATGCGTTTTTTGTTTTGGTGATTACACTGGGCACACCCAGATAATCTCCCCATCTCAAGATCCTTAACATAATTACATCTGCAAAGTCCCTTTTGCTTTGTAAGATAACATATTAACAGATTTCAGGAATAGGATCTGGGCATCTTTGGAGAGTTATTACTCTGCCTACCACAAGCAGCCAGCCACTTGGACATAATTTGATTTCTTCCCCAAATAACTTCTTTGTTGATTTTTTAAATACAGAAAAATTATGCAATCGAATTTTAGAATTTTGTTTTTCAAAATTTGAAACTTTAGCCAAGTATTAGAAATCTTTGCTGCTTCTGAACAGCCTAAATGCTGGCATGAATTCAGCAAAAGTTGCAAAATTGTAGATTTATAGGTTTCAAGAAACCGAGATATTTTTGACTTTCTAAATGAGAATTGGTTTGAGAGAGGAAAAGCAGGAAAACAAAAATATAGCAGCAGAGATTCAAATTTTAGATTTTCTTTCTTTTTTTCTTCTTTACTTGTGTATTTGATGTTTTATCCTAGGTGTAGTAATGAAGATGATTTTGGCATTTCATTTTCACTGCCTTTTTTTTTTTTTTTGATTAATGTAGTTCTTATTTTTCCTGATAAGAAGCGAGAAATGAAATAGATGAAACAAGTTTTATCAACACATTTAGAAGAAAATCCAACAATTTACCAAACTATTTGCCAAATCTTTTTTTCTTTAACTAGCTTTTTTTTTTAAAAAAAGAAAGAGGAATAACATTTTGTTTGATTATCTTTTTTATGGGAGAGGAAGGTCACACGGACACCCACTGATGCAAAATAATCACTGAACTGTTCAGCGATGTTTGCAACAGGATTTTCTACAAGGAAGCTTGGTATTGCCAGTTTCTTTCTTTTTCCAATTTTATATATATATGTGTATGTGTGTATGTATATAGGTTCGCTACGAGTCAGATGGAGTCCTGGTGTGCTGTGGTTAAGAGCTATGGCTACAAACCAAAACGTTGGCAGTCCAAATCCATCAGCCGTTTCTTGGAAATCCTATGGGGCAGTTCTACTCTGTCGTATAGGGTCACTATGAGTTGGAATCGACTTGACAACAATGGGTTTGGTTTTTTGGGTTTTTTTTTAATGAGTCAGAATTGACTCAAAGACAACAGGTTGGTTTTTTGGTACTTATACATGAAGACAAGACTTTGCTTTAAGATATAAGATATACTGGAACTTGTGTAAAATGGAAACCTGTCAGAGAAATAAAACTCAAATATTTTCCACTAAAAGGAGCAATAGAAAAGTCGTAAGAGTGCACCTTGTCAAAGGAGGAAAACTTGCGAGACCCGGATAAACAGGGCAGCCCCACGGAGTTCTGACTCTCACAGGTTTCACTGTGTATGCTGTATTCACTAGGTTGATGAAATACTGACAAAGATTCTCCCATCTTAAGCTCCAGGTCACTCTACACTAGTTTCTCAACTTGGCACTATTGCCATTTGGGGCCCAATAATTCTTTGCTGTTGGAAGGCTGCCCTGAGCACTGTAGGATATTTAGCAAATCCTTGGCTTCTATCCACAGATGCCATTTGTACTCTCCTAGTTGTGACAAACAAAAGTGTACCCAGACATCAAAAATGTCCACGAGGGCAAACTGCCTTCATTTGGGAACCACTCTTCTGCATAAATGGAACAAGATCAGAACACCAAAGTCAAGACAGCCCTCTTCTCCAGTCCATGGAAAAATGTTCCCTAAATATAATAAATAGTGGTTGTTAGTCACCACTTCCCCAAAAATTATGGCAGCATTAAATAGAATTAAAATGTTTTATTTTATTTTAACTGCCAACACTTTGGGAATTGGAAAAAGAAAGAAACTGGCAATATCAAGCTTCCTTGTGGAAAATTGTGTGGCAAACAGCAGCAAACACTTCAGTGATTATTTTGCATCAGTGGATGTCAATGTGATCTTCCTCTCCCATAAAAAAGATAATCAAAAAAAATGTTATTCCATTTAGATGACTGTTCTCATAAGAACATCCGTATAAGTTTTCACTTAGTCATTGCAGTTATGTTCAATTATGATAACCACCAAAATCATCTTAAAAACTTTTCTTAAGGAACTTTTTCTTGTTTCGTTTACAAATGCAGCACATCATTAGAACAATTCAAATAACCCAGAGGTGTGTAAAATTGTAATCAATAGTCTCAACCAACCTGCCATTTTGATTACCATTTATACCATGCACTAGGTAAGGTATGTTAGGTCCTTGAGGAAGAGGACGGTGTCTTTCTTGCTCACTACTGTGTGTTTGTTCTGAGATCAGTGCTGGGCACACATGGTCTTTTAGTAAATATATGTAGCGGGAATGAAATAATATAGAAAGAGCAGTTAGCATAGTGTATGACACCTGGCAGGTGCCCAATAAAGGATTCATGTGGCATGGGAGGGATATTCAAGTTACTTATCTGTCTCCTGCGAGTAACAAGGCCATTTGGGGAACCCACAGATGAGACAATGCTGGAGAAAAGACAAGCAGCAGGGAACTGAGAACCAATACCTTCCTTCAAGTGTGACTCAATGGAAGAACTGAATGGGTCTTGTGTGGAAGGCTGGAGTCAAAATTAATAACTTCTTTCTAACAAAGCTCAAGCAGTTAATTTGCATGATTTTAATACCAAAGCTAGCCTGCAGTATTGAGGTGCCAGAGGCAAGAGCTGATTAGTACTGGGGTCTATCAGGTTACAAGAGTCAGCATGGACTGCAGAATTGCATCAGCTGCAATTAGTAAGAATCACACTGGGAAAAGACATGATGTTTGTAAAGTTTTAAAACTTGAGCTTATTTGCACTTTTTGTACCTTGCTTAAAACTGAGGAATGAAGGATTAATTATATTGTTAATTTTTAGGACAGTCATGTTTTTGCAGAAAAATGACTGCAAACCTCATAGCTGCACTTGAAAAAAAAAGCCTCGCTTTGGGTCCCTAGACATGCTTATTATCTCAGTAATGAAGTCACTCCTGAGGTTCACCCTTCAGCCAAAGATTAGACAGGCCCATAAAACAAAAAGACTAAATGGGGCACACCAGCCCAAGGGCAAGAATAAGAAGGCAAAGGGGACAGGAAAGCTGGTAATGGGGAACTCAAGTTAGAGAAGGGGACAGTGTTGACATGTCGTGGGGTTGGCAACCAATGTCACAAAACAATATGTGTATTAATTGTTTAATGAGAAAATAGTTTGCTCTGTAAACCTTCATCTAAAGTACAATAAAAAAAAATTTAAAAAGCCTAACTTTGTTCTTAAGCAGCTCTAAATCAAGAATTTGGCTCAGATTAAATAATAAAGCTAGAGAAAATAGCCGGCCGGAAACTAACATTTGAAATTAGCTTCTTTATGACAAGCACCCTCGTTACTGTACTAGGACATGAATCCTCCAGGTGAAGGAGGCATGATCTAGCTCATAAAGGGTACTCAATAAATGCTTGTTTGTTGCCATAAAAGATGGAGTCAGACTGGGTTAAGACTTACTTCTCCTAACCTCTTTTCCAGCTGAAAATTCCTTCTTAATATCCTCACATTGCTGTTAGAATCTGATAGTTGCTCCAAGGTAATTGCAAAACATTTCTTTCTTTTTAGTCCAGGCATTCCTGTCTTCAAAGAAAAAGAATCCTTTCTTCTAGAATTATCTAAGAAGAAAATGGTTTTTCTTCTCTTTGTATTTTTAGGAGATTCTTTCAGCCAAAATGAGCAAACTCTTTCCTCTTTCACTGAATACCAAAATGAAGGACTCTTATTTCCCCATTTCCTTACAGGCATATCCTCTTTGGGTGTGTTGTCTGGTATATAGGCTCCCAAGACTCAGCTTACACAAGTTCCAACAATAACAGAGAACTCCTTCTCATTAGGGCTTATTTCCAAAGGTAGGTTTGGATGTTGCCATAAACTCTGTACTTAGGCTGAAGGTGACATCGTCCCCTCCTCAAGATGCCAAAAAGTAGGAATGGGTGTACCTTCCTGAAGGGAATATGACCACCCCGCCTTGTTGCTGTCCAGTCAATTCTGACTCATAGCAACCCTATAGAATAGAGTAAAACTGCCCCATAGGGTTTCCAAGGCTGTACTTCTTTACAGAAGCAGATTACCACATCTTTTTCCCGCATAGTGGCTGGTGGGCTCAAACAGCCCACCTTTCAGTTATCTGCCAAGCACTTAACCACTGTGCCACTAGGGAATATAACTAGCACTGCATACACTTGCTTCCACAGGCATTGGAAATATATGATGTTAACTAAGTAAAATAACTATGAATTGAATATGTTATTAGCAGTTAAATTTAAGTTTAAACTACTGATTAATATACTTAATAACAAACATAGAAAAGGTGTTATTATGCTAATTTATAGGAATAGTGCTTATTTTAGGATAAGCCATTATAATACTGCCAGGTGAAGTATATAATGAATTAACTTTCAGGAGCTGGAACACAGAGGAAGACGCACGCAACCTAGAATATAAGTTGTGATTCGTAGGTATTTTGGGGGAATCCTTTATAGATTCACTGTAAAAAATATTTTTACATGATCACTTTTCAAAATTTTAGACATTTTAAAATATACTTTTTTAATAAGAAAATCTAATACACACAAACAATGAGGGATAATCTTAAATAATTTTCAAACATGGTCAGCTTTCAAATTTCCATTTTAAAGAAGCTATGAAGTTTACACAAGATCTTACATTATTTTTAAACTTACAAGTTAGTATATAACAGCCTTATAAATCCCTGAAATCTGTGTTAAGAAATTCAGTCCTTTAGTTTCTGTTGTTGTTGTTATGTGCCTTCGAATCGGTTCTGACTCAGAGCGACCCTGTGTACAGCAGAAAGAAACGCTGCCTGGTCCTGTGCCATCCTCACAATCATTGCTATGTTTGAGGCCGTTGTAGTATAACCCATCTTGTTGAGGGTCTTCGTCTTTTCCGATGATGCTCTACTTT